TGTCATTATTTTTGTTGTCTTTCATGAGGAGAGAATACGTAGTAATGTACTTATGCCTCAACTGTATTGTCGATATGTCGACGATACTTTTTGTTTATTTCATGATGAAGTTGAGGCTGATCAGTTTCTCACTTTCCTGAATGGTATCCATCCAGCGTTGAGGATTACGGTCGAGAAGGAATTTAATTTTTAACTTGCCTTCTTGGATGTCTTAGTACATCGGACACTGACAATTTTTCTTACCTCAGTTTATAGGAAACCGATATTTGCGGGGTTATATAAGTCCTTCTTGGATGATGAAATCAATTTTGTTAAGGAAACCTTATGTGGTTTAGGATATCCGCCTGATACTGTTCATTCGGTTATCCGGAACAAGCTTGAGGAGTTCAGAAATGTCAAACTTTGTACTGTTAAAAAGTGGCCTGGTTATCTTAGATTGCCCTGTATCGGGTCCAAGTGTGATAATATGATTAGGCAGACTTCAGCTAATGTTCGTCATTGTTTTTCCTCGGATGAGGTACATATTGTTTTTCAAACTCGGCCTGTTTCGTTCTGGGTGCAAGGATGCTCTCCCTGCCCCTCAAATTAATTCTATTGTTTACAAATATATTTGTAGTTGCGATGCTGACTATATAGGGAGAACTACTCAACGGCTGGACATGAGAATTAAACGACATATTCCCACCAAGATCAGGAATCACTCCTTATCTTTGAATGAACTTGTCCCAAATACCTATGGTTCCGCCATATGTGAGTATGTCTTAAATAACAGAGGGTGTGCTGCTAATTTTAGTGCTGATTGGTTCACTGTTCTGTTCCAGTCACACTCTTTATTTCACCTCAAGGTGTTGGAGGCACTTTATATCGGTTCCTGCAAACCTTCCCTCTGTAAACAGCGTGAATGTTTGTTGGGGCTCGCTGCTATTTGTCTCTAGCTCTTGTGTTCATTTTTTTTAACTTCTCATTGCACATTTTCTGGTCTTTTAATTTAAGTTAAATCTCCCGTGAAGGCCTAATGAGCGGGAGCGAAACCGGTTGTTTCATTTGTGGAAATGTCTAGTAATATCAAGCTTCACACTTTTATTTCTGTTATATATATATATATATATATATATATATATATATATATATATATATATATATGTGTGTGTGTGTGTGTGTGTGTGTGTGTGTGTGCAGAAAATTTTTTTAGGCATGTCTGTTGAATAAATTACAAACAATATGTATGCTTATTTTGATCATAATCCTTTCATATTCACGAATATTTTTTTCGTATATTGCCATGAAATAAGGCAAGAAATGCATTGTAACAGTGGGAATCACTTTTATTTCCCACGTTCTTACCATCTCTTTCTGAGATCATCATCAGGGAAAGGAATAGCAAAAACAGTGTAGCTATCCTTTTTTTTCTTTTGTGTTTAAATGCTGTGGCTGACAGTTATGCTTTAGCGTTCATTAAAATTCTGATGATCTCGGGATTATAATCAGAATATGCACACGTATATATATATATATATATATATATATATATATATATATATGAATCGTGTTCCAATAACTTGGACCGATTTTCAATGTGAATTAAGTTTGAACGTCTAATGATTTTTTTTCTTTTTCTTTCATGTTTAACAACTTAAGCCTTTGACAATTTCAACCCTGGAAAGATTAACAAAACAGTGAAGTTAATTGGCCCCGACGATCGTGCGACTTTACGCCTTTAGATTTCTTCCTTTGGGGATCATCTCAAAAGTAAGCTCTATGCCAACAAGCCAGCAACAATTCAACAGCTGAAGGATGAGATAATAAGGCAGATTGGTGAGATCGAGGAGCAACTATGCAGAGACGCCATCAAAAATTTTGTCTATCGAGTAGAGGTGTGCCTCCGAAGCCTTGGCGGACATTTAGGCGAGATTATTTTTCACACATAATTGCCATAACTTAAATAACATGATCCAATAGAGAAATAAAAGAAAGTTTCACCAATAACACTGATTTATTTACTGCTGACTTTGATTCGTCTAAATGAAACACCATTACACACACACACACACACACACACACACACACACACACATATATATATATATATATATATATATATATATATATATATGTAACTTAAAAGAGACTGTTTGACCAACACAAGGACTGAACAAAATTCATGTTAAAAAAATAAAAACAAATGAAAACTACTGATTTTCTCCATTTAGACATTCATTTCTGTAGTTCACTGCAAGCAGATTTTTTTCTCCTGATGATGGCCATGTTGGCCGAAACTAGTCAAGGAATCTAAATGAAATAATAATAAAATGGAAATAATATTAATATACAACCCAGTGTGTCTGAATATTTTAAATTTTTAATATTTTTTATTCAAATATATGTTATATATATATATATATATATATATATATATATATATATATATATGAACTCATGTTTACTTAACTACAAAAGTTAATGCCCTCTCAGATACAAAATAGCAGTTACCAAAGACGTGATTTACAGAGCCAAAGCAAACTCTTCTTTGCACATATTATTCTATAAGGACCTTAGAAACATTAAACTAACCCTAATCAACACTGATTTTCCTAGCCACGTTGTCGACGAACAATTAAGATTAGCCTCCACTAACGAAAACAAGAATAAACACACCATTATATCTTCACTAAATGCTCCCTAATCATAAAAAGGAGGAAAAAGGTTTAGAAACATAATTCACTGTTTCATATTGATCAATGATCCTAACAAGCACCCAGGATTTATCATCTATTACTTAAAAAATTACAACATCTGACTTAATTATCACCAATGCCACAGGTCCATATAAATCCCTGTGATAAAATTGGCCGTGAATTCTCATATACTTGGGAGACTGCATCTACAACATTAAATACATCCATTGGGTACACGGGCATCATACTCTCTTGCAGACTAACCTGTCACCTGTCGAAATTTATGAACGACTAAAATGTAACCGTTAACATGAGACACATATTAGATGACAACACCAAAATATTCTATAGCCCCACTTGCAATGAAAGACTCCAAACTCTAGAAGATATAGATAGATAAATAGATAATGAACAGGATGAAATACATAGATAGATAGATAGATACATAGATAATGAACTGGCTGAGATAGATATCAAATAAACAACCCAATTAAATAAGATATCACTCACCATAAGATGTTATCTTGAAGTGCATAATATATATATATATATATATATATATATATATATATATATATATATTATGAAATGGACAAGTCCGACAATTATTTTAATATATTTTTTACGTTATTTTTTTACAAATATTTAAGTAAATACTCTGTTTATAATAAACAATATTAACAACATTTACCGGCCTGAATGTCCGAGAAATTTCATAGAAAATATGTGTCCTCCTACAGGAATCGAACCCATATCCTACACGGAACGTGCTATACCATTTAGCTACAGAGGAAGCGTCTGGTAAGCAAGGTTGGATTACTGCTTTTAAACAACAAATTTTTCATGATTTCTCTCGAACGCTCATATCTGCATGAAGCGTATCTTAACGTAAACCAATGTCATCATAAATTATGAAACGGACTAAGTCCGACAATTATTTTAATATATTTATTACTTATACGTTACTTTTATAAATACAAATATCTAAGTAAATGCTCTGTTTATAATAAACAATATTACCAGCATTTACTTGTCTGAATGTCCGAGAAACTTCATAGAAAATATATGTTTCCTGACAGGAATCGAACCTCTACCCTACACGAAACCGTCATATAGCCTGAAGTGATATACCATTTAGCTACAGAGGAAGTATCTGGTTAGCAAGGTCGAATTACTATTTTTAAACTGCAAATTTCTCATAATTTCTTTCGAACGCTCATATCTGCTCAAACGTATCGTAAACAAATGACATCATATATTATGAAAAGTCCGGCAATTATTTTAATATATGTATTGTTTATCATGCTTGCTCCTTAACGTAATTCATAGAAGGTAATAGGGGGAAAGTACAACTTTTCGACCTCCATTTTTACGACATTCATTTGTGGACAAATCCTCAACATTCAATAAAGTCTGACTGGCAGGAGTTAAGGTCGGACTGGCAGGGGTTAGGGTCTGACTGGCTGGAGTTAGGGTCGGAGTGGGAGGAGTTATGGTTGGACTGGCAGGGGTTAGGGTCTGATTGCAGGAGTTAGGATCTGACTGGCAGGGGTTAATGGCTGACTGGCAGGAGTTAGGATCTGACTGGCAGAGGTTAATGTCTGACTGGCAGAGGTTAGGGTCTGACTGGCAGGGGTTAGGGTCTGACTGGAAGGAGTTAGGATCTGACTGGCAGAAGTTAGGGTCTGACTGGTAAGAGTTAGGGTCTGACTGGCAGAAGTTAGGGTCTGACTGGTAAGAGTTAGGGTCTGACTGGTAGGAGTTAGGGTCTGACTGACATCTGAACGATGAAAAGTTTCAAGTCAGCACCAAAACAAATGCCAGCGTTAAGTTGTAGTCATTTTATATTAACAATGATAGATATATAGATAGATAAATTATGATTAAACGTAGATAGATAGATAGATAGATAGATAGATAGATAGATACGCACAAGCTGAGATAGGTAGATAGATAGATACGAACAAGCTGAAATAGATAGATAGATAGACACGAACAAGCTTAGATAGATATATCGATAGATAGATTATAATTAAACACACACACACACACATATATATATATATATATATATATATATAGATAGATAGATAGATAGATGAACAATCCGAGATATATAGATAGATAGATTATAATTAAACATAGATAGATAGATAGATAGATAGATAGATAGATACGAACAAGCTGAGATAGATAGATAGATAGATAGATAGATAGATAGATAGATAGATAGATAGATAAGAAAAGTAAGAAAAATATTATCAAAGGTGACATTTCTTTTTTCTAGACCCTATTTAATTTTCAATCATGACATAGAAAAAAGTCATGCTTTTTGTTTGCTTTTTTGCTAATTTTTATTTATGTTTCCTTCACTTCTTGACACTTCTTTTTTTCATTTCTTTCTTCTCTATTTTCCTTCTCTCTAATTTTCTTCTTCCTTTATTCTCAATTCTTCAAATATTCTATCATTCGCTCTTTCCTGTCTTGCTTTTTCGTCTCTAATTTCATCTTTTTCCCTTTTCTTTATTCTTTTCCCCTTCTTCATCTTCTGATTCTTCTTCTTCTTCTTCTTTTTCTTCTTCTTCTTTTTCTTGTTCTTCTTCATCTTCATCTTCTTCTTTTTCTTCTTCTTTTTCTTCTTCTTCTTCTTCATCATCATCTTCTTTTTCTTTTTCTTCTTCTTCTTCTTCTTCTTCTTCTTCTTCTTCTTCTTCTTCTTCTTCTATATCCAACCTTCTTTCAGTTATTTCTCTCTTTCACACATTGACTCTGCTTCTGACGTCAGTCACGAGAAATCAAATCGAAATAGACCGAGAATGTGCGAGAAGCGGTAAAACTGAATGATCTACGAAAGAAAATGAAAATACAAACATTACAAACAGGAAATCAAAACAAAACGACATATCAATTATTATCTTTTACTTTCGTTTTTCTTATCTTCTTTGTTTTCGTTGTTTCGTCATTCATTCATTCATTTGTCCTCTTATCTATTTATTTGGTTGGGTTTTTCCCGTGTTTTGATGATTTGTTCCCGGAATTGCAACAACAATGGTCGGGAGTTGGGGCAGCACGGCGACCACGGCTCGGGCAGAGTAAAATGAGGAAATTGCTTTTCAAAAGTGAAAGTGAAAGTAGGATTTGTCGTGCGGTAATCGGCGTATGTGCACGTGCGCGCACCAACGCGCATGACTGGAAAATAAACACAGGCTTTCGTGAGGGTTACTGTTATTTCGGAACTTACCGAATCAAAAATATTGCAAATGGTGTACACACCCACTTACTGTATTTTTTCTTCGTGACCATTGGCACCTCGAATAAACAATAGATAACAGCGGAAAGATAGCGTTTATTTGTGTCTGTGCATAAACCTATATATATATATATATATATATATATATTGATAGCTAACTTGTTATTTATTTACGCAACTTATTATGAATACTCGAATGCGGAAAGAGATGAATGTTGTATTGCGATGATCGTTCGAGCACTTGTAGAGAAAATTTAATTTCACAAATGATTCTATACATGTGTGGTTGTGTTCCGACGGTGAAGTGATGAAGGAAATGGAAGACAAAAGAAGCCTATCTTAGCCTGTCCATATCTATCTATCTATCTACCTGTTTCTCTCACTCGATCTCTGTTCTCAGTCTGTTAATATCTATCTATCTATCTATCTATCTATCTATCTATCTATCTATCTGTTCCTCTCACTCCTTCTCTGTTCTCAGTCTGTCCATATCTATCTATCTATCTATCTATCTATCTATCTATCTATCTATCTCTTCCTCTTACTCCTTCTCTGTTCTCAGTCTGTCCATATTCATCTATCTATCTATCTATCTATCTATCTATCTATCTATCTATCTGTTTCTCTCACTCGATCTCTGTTCCCAGTCTGTTAATATCTATCTATCTATCTATCTATCTATCTATCTATCTATCTATCTATCTATCTATTTGTTCTCACTCCTTCTCTGTTCTCAGTCTGTTCATATCTATCTATCTATCTATCTATCTATCTATATATATATATATATATATATATATATGTTCTCACTCCTTCTCTGTTCTCAGTCTGTTCATATCTATCTATCTATCTATCTATCTGTTCCTCTCACCCCTTCTCTGTTCTCAGTCTGTCCATATCTATCTATCTATCTATCTATCTATCTATCTATCTATATATATATATATATATATATATATATCTGTTCTCACTCCTTCTGTGTCCTCAGTCTTTTAATATCTATCAATCTATCTATCTGTTTTCAGTCCTTCTCTCTTCTCAGTCTGTTAATATCTATCTATCTATCTATCTATCTATCTATCTATCTATCTATCTGTCCTTGTCACACCTTCTTTGTTCTCAGTCTGTTAATATCTATCTATATATCTATCTATCCTTTATTCGTATCTATTTCAGTGCTTATATATCTAACTATATCGATTAACTAAGCGTATTTTAAATGTGACACAAAGCCGAATGTAACTGACCTTGCAAATCAATCTTGTTAACTATCCTCTCTCTCTCTCTCTCTCTCTCTCTCTCTCTATATATATATATATATATATATATATATATATATATATATTTATGAATAAAAATAATATAGAAAATTAGTAATTGCTGACGCGTAATTCATCCAATGTATCTATTTATCAAAGCAAAATAAGAAATGAATATATTTTTAACAAAATAACGTTTTCCAATTCCAGAATGTTACTAACATTCTGTTTTGTAAATTAGTTACCTTGTTAAATTATATTCATTTGTATTTTCATTTGATAAAGTCCACATTGGACGAAAAATTTCAGCAATTACTAGTTTTCCTTTACCATTTTTATTCATAAATATTGTCTTCTCCACTGGTTAAATTGGAGAAATTTTCATATATATATATATATATATATATATATATATATATATATATATATATATATATATATATATATATATCACTATATTCAAATGGCTTAGGGTTATGTGGATGATAAAACATATACATGCTCCTAAAAAAATTATTTCTGTTGATCTCTCGGGGATAAAAGTGAATTTGTAAAGAGTGACTATTACTGCTAATGATGAAAGACTCTTCGTTAAGACGAATCATGTTCTCCAGTCACTGGCATGTTTATCTAAGAATAAATACGTTTAAATTCACCATCATCCCTGCCGGCTTAGGGTTTCGATCCCAGCTTCTGGCAATCGGATGTCTAGTCACACTGATGAGCTGTGAAACAGTCTGTCTGAGACATATATATATATATATATATATATATATATATATATATATATATATATATATATATATATATTTATTTACATAAATATTTTAATCTGGCTATCTCTCTATCTGTCTGTCTGTCTGTCTCTATCTCTATCGCTCTCTCTCTCTCTCCTCTCTCTCTCTCTCTCTATATATATATATATATATATATATATCAGTTTATTCATATACCTCTCTCTCTCTCTCTCTCTCTCTATCTATCTATCTATCTATCTATCTATCTATACAGGGTGCAATATATAAATTGTCACCGTATTATATTTTTAATTTCACGCATTCGTGTTGTTTTGTTTTCGATTTTGTCGACTGCGCAACATAGTAGGTTCAGCTGGGTGCTGTCTATGAGAAAAAGAGCACCTTCTGCCATCAATTTGGAAACGGCATGCTGTACTGCTTGGCATTCGCGCCGGAAGCTCCATTACTAATATTCCAGAGTGTTTGGGTGTCATTCTGAGGACAGTGCAGAGGATTCGAAAAGAGTTGGGTGACTACGAAGGTGTTTGGAGTGATCGCTAGTGATGGCGTCGTTATGCCTCAATTCCATCTTTCCACAGGGCTTCAGACTCAACACGGATGCCTGTATCAAGTGTCTTGAGGAAGTAGTCATGCCTTGGGTCAAGAGGGTGGCTGCTGGAAGAACCTATGTCTGGCAACAGGACGCTGCACCATGTCATACAAGCAGGAGAACTCAATCATGGCTGCTAGACAGTTTCTGTGACCAAAACAAATCCTATATCTATTAATATCTCAGACTGCAACCATCTATGGGTCGCATTTGAGCGATATGCCAACAAAACTCCTTATAACAACATAAATGAACTGAAGGCAAGAATTATGGCAGAATTCCACAACTTAAAAATGGAGAACGTCCTGAAGAGCTGCAGGAGATTCCGAAGTCACCTGGCAGCTGAGGTTGACGCTAATGTCGATTTCATCAAATAAATTTACTCTATAGTATTTTAAGATACGTTTGTGTAATTTTGGTAAATATATCTGTTAAATATCCATCGCTCCCTATATTGACATCAATGTATTCATATATCTATCTATCTATCTATCTATCTATCTATCTATATATATATATATATATATATATATATATATATATTGTCCGTATATTGCTTAATATGTTGTAATTGACATCTTTGATAATGGCTTATGTAAGCCGAAAGCTTGGATTGTATTAAAAAATATGGATCAATATTGTGAATTTCTTTCTTCGTTCAATGATAATCTTATTAAACTTATCAGATGTTATGAAAAGTGTTTACATAAAATAAATAGACAACACTTGTCTATATTATTTAATGAAATGTATATGAATATATATATATATATATATATATATATATATATATATATATATTTCGGAATATTTTTTTAAATAAAAAAGCAATATTGCTGTTTATAATTTTTATATATATATATATATATATATATATATATATATATATATATATATATATATATATATATTATAATTATATATATATATATATAAAATTATAAACAGCAATATTTTTTTAAAAAAATATATTCCGATTCGGGAACATTAATTAATATTCATCGAAGTTAAGTTTTAAAAGAAGACATTAGTCCATGCATTTAATCAAATTTTAAGTCAAGATACACAGCCACTGAGTCATATATTTTGAGGTTTTTCATTTTTTTTAACTCCTCTCAACACGTGCTCGGAACAATTAAGAAAAGAAAATAATAGTATTTTAATTAAAGATTTAATTAAAGATATTTTTCATTTTACATTGTCCTCGCCACACCTCGTCTCCGTGTTTGGTTCATCCGGTCCCGCCAAGAAGCTTGAATCCTATACGGCTCAGGAGGCCAAGTCGGGAATGGAACAGTCTCGGGTATTGATCGTATTGTCGGGTGGGTGGGTGGTCTTGGTTGGAGCTTCCGGGTTCTGTGTTGCTTTCTTTTCACTTCCTCTCCATTCACCTCTTCACGAACGTGGAACAAACGAAATGAATTGCTCTTCGTCAGGGTATACGGTCGGCGGCTTCTGTTTCCCAGGTGTTAGGGCTGATTCCGCGACTTGAAGGAGGGAAGACTTCAGGTGGTCTTTGAACCTGGGGTTCCGCGATGTCGTTTGCTGTCGGCCAGCCTGCTGTAAAGGAATTACTACGGGAGTCTTGAAGGGGCCATTCGGTTGACACGTTCCGACCACCTGAGGAGATGATTGAAAATGGCGTCTTCAATATTCGGCATTTCTGAGAGATTGAGGACTTCGTTGCTGGTACGTCGATCCTGTCATTTGATGATAAGGATCTGCCGGAGCTTGGCTTGTTCATTTTACATACTGTAAAGTTATTATACAAAACAGTAATTTAATTTATATAACACCAGACGATTTCATTTTGATTCCAGTTACAATGACATCAGATAGCGTTAAGGACAAAATATGAAGCCGAAATTTGAACATACATTGTCATAACGAAAGATTCTTTTCGGAAGCGAAGTAAATTACTAGGAAACAGAAAAGTTTCGTTAGAAACAAAGAAAAGAGTTAGCTATTATATAATATAAGCCCTCCTATATAGCAGTGAATGCTGGATAATCTCACAGATGAAGAAGAGACTTGAGGCAACAGAAACAAAGAAAAGAGTGCTGAACGGTTATATAATATCAGTCCTTCTATATGGTAGTGAATGCTGGACAATCTTTTCGCAGAGGAAGAAGAGACTTGAGACAACAGAAACAAAGAAAAGAGTGCTGAACGGTTATATAATATCAGTCCTCCTATATGGCAGTGAATGCTGGACAATCTCCTCACAGATGATGAAGAGACTTGAGGCAACAGAAACAAAGAAAAGGGTGCTGAACGGTTATATAATATCAGTCCTTCTATATGGCAGTGAATGATGGACAATCTCCTCACAGATGAAGAAGAGACTTGAGGCAACAGAAACAAAGAAAAGGGTACTGAATGGTTATATAATATCAGTCCTCCTATATGGCAGTGAATGCTGGACAATCTCCTCATAGATGAAGAAGAGACTTGAGGCAACAGAAACAAAGAAAAGGGTGCTGAACGGTTATATAATATCAGTCCTCCGATATGGCAGTGAATGCTGGACAATCTCCTCATAGATGAAGAAGAGACTTGAGGCAACAGAAACAAAGAAAAGGGTGCTGAACGGTTATATAATATCAGTCCTCCTATATGGCAGTGGATACTGGACAATCTCCTCACAGATGAAGAAGAGACTTGAGGCAACAGAAACAAAGAAAAGGGTGCTGAACGGTTATAAAATATCAGTCTTCCTATATGCCAGTGAATGCTGGACAATCTCCTCAAAGATGAAGAAGAGACTTGAGGCAACAGAAACAAAGAAAAGTGTGCTGAACGGTTATATAATATCAGTCCTCCTATATGGCAGTGAATGCTGGACAATCTCCTCGCACATGAAGAAGAGACATGCGGCAAACAAACAAAGAAAAGGGTGCTGAACGGTTAAATTCTCTTATATTGCAGTGAATGCTGGGCAATCTCCTCACAGATTAGGTTAACAAATATGATATAATTTATTTGGATACGCATCGAGCAGATATGAATGTATGAGAGAAAATCATGGAGAATCGTAGTTTAAAAACAGTAAAATCGACCTTGCTAACCGAAACGCTCCTCTGTGGCTCGATCGGTAAAAGCACGTCAGGCTATAAGACGGTTCCGTATAGGATACAGGTTCGATTCCTCTCGGAGGACATATATTTTCTATGAAAATTTCTCGGACATTCAGGCCGGTAAATGTTGTTAGTACTGTTTATTATAAACAGAGCATTTACTTAAATATTTGTATCTATAAAAAGAATGTATAAACATAAAAAATGTCTTAAAATAATTGTCGGACTTTTTCCATTTCCATATATATATATATATATATATATATATATATATATATATATATATATATATATATATCATAAAGAATCAATTTATACAGAGAATTAGATAGCAATGTTAATGTGATTAATGGTTTAATCACTTCGCTATCCGGACTTAATGAGACATTAACTTACTATCAATTCCTTGAATAAGATCCTTATATTCGAGTTATTGCCAGATGGAAGACACATGCTACATATTTCAAAAATTTCAAATTGTCATCTTCAGGGGGCAATTTTTCGCCATACATATGTGTAGACCTAAAAAAGTTTTTTTTTTTTAAATTATGATATTTTAGCAGTTGAATATATTTGCATCGCATGCTCCAAGCGTATATTCATTTTTTTTATAAATAATTAATGCATAATTTAAAAAAAAAAAAACAATAAATTAAAAATATATATATAAAGATAGTTTTAATAGTACTTAGTACTTTGTATGTCCATTCCAATCACCAGAAGAATGCCGGAGCGTACAACGGCCGAAACGTTGTAGACACAATATGTCTGTACTATTCAATGAAACATGTATGAATGAAGATATGCTGCCTAAATATATAAATTGTACAGTTACAAGAAATGTCTTCCTAAAATTCTGTCAGTAATTTATGGTAATGTTCTTTTGTGAGCAGATATTAGCGAATAAGATTAAATGTTTTTGAATTATTAGATCAATTTTTAATTATATGAGTACTTCGCGGGATACATTGACACAGCATATTCTGTTTATCCAATGGAGATAAGGAAGAAGAAATTTAGTTTTGTAGATCCTTTGTGAATATGTGCTATTGCGGTAAATGTAGGATTCTTGTGATGATTGAGTATATTTTATTGAAAGAAAGGGTCAGGATTGTGATTAACACAGACTAAGATAGTCAAGATCCCTTTCTCTTCAGACTTGTGCCACAGTTTTGTATTTTTTTTTTTAGAAAATAAATATACAATCCACATGAAGTGCTGCCCGATCCACCTTCTGCCCGAAGCTCGCCAATTCGCCATCTTCACATTCCATTGTAAAACATACACGCGACTCTGGAGCTTTTGGGTCGCTGAGGTAGAGAATTACACTAAGAAATAAAAATTTAACAACATCATTGACTCATTTTTGTTTATTAGACATTTAATTACGTCACTTAGCATCTTCCAAAGTTTACCTTGACTTTGAGCCTATCTGATTTATATTGATGAACGCTGTTAAATTTCAAAATTCTGAAAAAATAACATTTTCACTTTTGCTTATAAATACTTGTAATAAAAATCGAATCTTTATATTTGTCTTGATAAAGTCCATCAGAGGACGAAACGGGTCCACTAAGATAAGTTTTGCTTTTTTCTTTAATCATATTTTCCCTTTGCAAATATATCTGAATTTTTATATACACACACAGGAATACACACATACACACTCACACGCACACACACACACAAGCACACGCACACACATATATATACTCACAGTCGACCTTGAAAATGGCTAAATGTATAGCCGAAAGCGCTCGGATAAAAAGAACATACGGGCAGTTTTTATATAATTTATCATCTGAAAAGGAAAAAAAATATTACATCGCATGAGAAATTGTATAAAAAACTAAAAAAAAAGCTTCTTTCTCTGCCGGATTCAATGAAATGTACATGAAAGAAGGATTGCTGCCTAAATACACACACACACACACACATATATATATATATATATATATATATATATATATATAAAAGAAATATGTTGTAGTGGTTCCAACGAGAGAAAAGTATGTATATTAAAAAGAAGAGGGGTGCCGCAAACGTTTTTGGTTGTAATGTGGATTTATTGAGAAAAATATTATTTTTGTTTTACATAATTTCAATTTTGAAATTTGTAAAACAAAGTATAATATTTTTATATATAAAATATTATGTAAAATGTAAATGTAAATGTAAATGTAAATGTATTATGTATTATGTAAAACAAAGTATAATATTTTTATATATAAATATTATATTTTTGTTTTACATAATTTCAATTTTGAAATTATGTAAAACAAAAGTATAATATTTTTTTCTCAATAAATCCACATTACAACCAAAAACGTTTGCGGCACCCTCTTCTTTTTAATATATATATATATATATATATATATATATATATATATATAGAGAGAGAGAGAGAGAGAGTAAGGGGGAGAAAGAGAGGCATATTATGTCTATTCCTTTTATACTGATCCTTTCCACTTCTCTAATCAGTTTAAGATGCTGTTCATCAAACAAAATAATCAAGATGTTTCGATCTCCTCCAAGATCATCCTCAGGGGTAAATTACTTGGGTAGGGAAAACTATGGTGCCTTCCTTGGTTAGAGAACTGGAAAGGATCAGTACAAAATAAATAGACATAATATGAACTCCTTTATTTCGTCCACTAGGGTAGACTGTTCTGGTTCCACGTGTCATGCCTCTACCGGATTTTTCAGGTATCTCCCTATGAATGTTTGGGACTTATAAAATTAATGCACTGAACCCTCAAAGAAACATGGTCCAGTGACTAAAAGCGTTGGTTGGATCTAGTGATTTGACACAAAGATTTGGGAGTTCAATACCTGGCTACTGTAGTGGTGAACAAAAACTTGGAGAATTGAGTTAAAGAGAGATAACTAAGACCCTCGGAAGAGGCATGGAACGTGGAACTAGAACAATCTACCCAGGTGGACGAAATTGTTCGAAATTCAAATCACCAGAAGAATGCCGGAACATACAACGGGCGAAACGTCGTAGACACAATATGTCTGTACTATTCAATGAAACATGTATCAATGAAGATATGCTGCCTAAATATATAAATGGTACAGTTACAAGAAATGTCTTCCTAAACTTCTGTGAGTAATTTATGGTAAGGTTCTTTTGTGAACAGATATTAGCGAGAAAGATTAATGTTTTTGAATTATTAGATCAATTTTTAATTACATGAGTCCTTCCCTCGAGACATTGACACAACACATTCTGTTTATCCCACGGAGATAAGGAGAAAATTTAAATATCTTGGAAATATTCTAACAGAGGACAAAAATATGGCATCGAAAACCGAGGGCAGATTGAAATAGCAAAAGATGCCTTCCAGAAACTAAGCAACGTATTAAAAAACAGGAAAATTATTTAAAATATTATGTAATATAACCTGTAGGA